CTTTTTTTTTTTAAGGAAGATGTTACAAGAAAGCAGCCCATCTTTATTGACTCTATTGACTAAAGGCCTCGCACAGATCTCATCGCATCTGGAGTGGATGCTGCTTTCCAGACTGAACCCAAACTTATCCTCTTCCATGGATGAAGCACAGAGAGGTCAGGGCTTGCCCAAGGTCACACAGCCCCATAGCTGCCTTCCAGCCTAAGCAGTGGCCACACAGCTCTTCCGAGTGGCTCAAGAGGTCCCTTCCCTCCTCAGCAGCCCACGAGGGGCTGACAGGAGTGGATGCTAGCTTTGGCTGCATTTTAGTTGACACTAACACTACACCCACTCTTCCTTCCCCTGAATTCCCGTCTTGCTGAGAGAATGGGTGAATGCAAAGAACAACCTGAACTGGCATCTACTCCTCGTTTCTATTGACAGTTTGCAAAGTCATCAGTGAGCCTCCTTTGATGTTGATTCTTTAGAAGTGAAAAACAAAGCACATTAAACAGCTTGTTTGGCCCAGGCCTGGCCAGCTCCCAAGCAGGGGAGGCCTGTGTCCAGACGGGGTGATGCGCATCTCCACCGTTTGTCCCCCTCCAGCGACAAGTTTCTAACAGGGCCTGTTATTCATGCTCCAATCGCCGCCCGGCCCAAGCCAGCCGTGCACTGGGCACCGGGTGCGCTGTGCCTGGACGGACAGGGCTCTGGCCTCCCTCACAATCCCGGGAGCTGACGAGGGCACCAGCGACCACAGGGTCCTGCTGGGGAGAGGGTGGGGCAGCAACCTCCAAAAAATGAGAAGGTCAGGGACCCCTGTGCTGAGACCTGAAATACTGACAGGAGTTAAATAAGGAGAAAGGTTAAATAATGTTGGAGACACAAGAAATGCCTTGCGGGAAGATCCCACACAGGAGAGAACACTGAATGTTTGAGCAATGGAAAGGAGACCGGTTTGGGGGTCAGGTAGAGAGTGCCTTCCCATTCTTACCAGCTGACCTAGACTGTGGTCACCGTGGGTGGTCAAGGAGCTTGAATTTTTGGGAGCAGCACTCAAAGGAAGCTCATTATAGAATAAGGAAACTCCCAAGTCTTGTCACTTTGTTTACTTTTCAAGTTGCCACACCTCCTATACGAGTCAGAGCTATTAATAACATGTTCTAAGTTCACAGGACATTTTTTTTTTTTTTCCCACAAAGACCACAAATTGTCCTACAGTCTCGGTCATTTGCATTTAGAACATTCCTCTGAAAAAAATCCTGGGGCAAAAGACTAAAGAGACAAACAGCTCTGTTAACCCTCCCCACCCGGGGCCTGGGCCTGCTGGACAAGTCCAGAACGTGGCCCTCACTCTCAGAATGCCGCTCCCCACACGTGGTCCCAACAGCAGCAGCCTTGGGAGGAAGGCGCTGTCCAGCCCACCGGGAGGGGGCAGGGGACCATGGGCACACTGGCTTCCATAGCTGGTGACCTGCTGTGGAAACGGCAACACTGGAGCCACCAGGTGTGGACCATTGCTGGGGTGACTGTCACCCCAAACCACTTTGTAAATGTTCATGTAAATAAATGCAGGGGAACCAAAGGGAAAACCTCAGCTGTTGCCTTTAAATAATACAGCATTAGTTCCCAGTCTGGTGACTGAGCCAGTTCCAGGAACTTTCTGTTCTCTGGGACCGAACTGCCATCAGATCAGCTGGAATTAGGTGTTTGCGATGCCAGAGCGGAGAGACATTGTGGGGTGAGGGGGACCTGACTGACTGACTGGTGGCTGGCTTACGGACACTGTGTGTGTCCAGCAGCTTCTCACTAGTGAGGGGCTAGCTCGGGGAACTTGTGAAAAATATAGGAAGCTCCCTGCGCCCCCAACAACTTCCTAAGTCTGAAGTGGGGGAGGGAGCAGGCATGTGTATTTTTTCAAAGCTCTCTAGGCAATTTGCCAGTGTTCCCCAAACACCTGGCATCAGCCCGACCAGCTGGCAGAGCAGCCACGGTTTCCTCACCTGTCTCTCCAATTCACCATTCTAATTATTCAGAGTGAGGGTTACAATCCCAGGGGCCCTCTGACACAGGGAACCTGCAGTGCCACAGTCACTGGTCATCCGGGGCCAAAGGAGACTCCACAAGCTACTGACCCACCCTCAGCTCCTAGGAGATAGGAGCCCCTTTGTTAGGGATGATGCATTAAACAATCGCACCCTTCTATCCTTTCTTGCTGGACCGCAACTAAAGGAAACATTTGGGTCTCAAGGTCAAGTTTGCTGCCCACAGGGGACCGTGACTGCAGACGTGGATGGACCAGGAAGACCCCCCAGCCCAGGGTCTAGGTCAACCCTGGCAAGTCTCTCTAGCCCATGGGCCTCAGTCTCGCCTTTCGGAGAAGCAAGAGGTGCTGCGAGAAGGGCTTAGGGTTCCTTGCAGTCCTAAAACACAAGCTGGAGTAAAACAGAATGGGAGGAGTCGCTCCATTCAGGAGAGAATCCCACCTCGCACGGAAGACTCTGGAGATGCCTGAGTTACCGCCAGTCCCCCAGCGATAGGCAGAGAAGTGGTCTCCTCCCGGGCCAGGGCAGACAGATAACAGGACAGGGTGGGGGCAGAAGGGGGACGCTAAGCTGTGGCTCGCCGGGCTGAGTGCGGGCTTGGAGGGTCAACCCTAATCGGGGATTAGTGGAAATCGTGTTGGAGGCAGGGCAGAGGGAGACTCCGCAGGGCCGGCTGCCAGGTCAGGACAGCCGCTAACGAAACACCAGGGCCTGCTCACCCACGCTGTCATGAGTGTCGCGGTCGGGATGGCCCAGGACAGGGGGGAGGTATGCCAAGGCCAGGGCAGGAGTTACCCAGATCCTATCAGCCTGCAGAACGTTCCATCTGAATTCAAATCGAGCAACATTTCCAGGCACCAGGGAGAGCAAAGTGACGCCAGCAATTCCCTCCCCCCCATCACACACACACGCACACACGCACACACACACACGCACCTGACACCACAGTCAGACCCAGTCTACTGTCAGAGGAGACTCAGGGCTGCCTTGAGCTTAAACCCAGTACATTATTGCCCCTTCCGGGCAGGAGCTCTGGAAAAACTGGCGTCTAAGACTCTGCAGTGCATGGCGAATAGCAGAGAACGGAGAAGGTGCAAAGGAGCCAGATCTCTCCCCGCCCCCTGAGCCAAGGGCCCTCTCTCCTCCCACACGGATTCAAGTGAGTAGGGAGAAAGGTTTGCCTCCGAAACCTTCAGGTATTTGCTTCAGTTCTCAGCAGACAAATTCCAGAGCAGGGATATCCTCCTTTCTCTCTGAGGGCTCCAGGCAAGAGGGTAATCTGGAAGCATTATATCGAAGGCAATCATAGTTTCTAAGCCAATCAGGAAATGTCAGGGAACACGGCAGAATGGGTTAAGCAGGACTGTCCCAGGCTTACAGGAGGGAGGCTCGTGCCTCTGCCTGACCCTCTCAGGAGTCCCAGGGGGATGACCAGGACCCTACAGATCATTCACCCAACACCAACACGCATGTTACAGCTCACGAAAGGCTGAGAAGCAGAATCAGTGGCCCACGTCACGCGCCCTGTCTCATCCAGCTGGGGCAAGACTTTCACCCGCTCACAACTCCAGCCTGCAGCGTACTCAGCCCCGGAACGCAGGCCCTGGACACCAGGTCAACCAGGGATCAACGACAGCAGCTTCGTGGGGAAACAAAGCTGTGTTTGCTCACATAGGTGAGGTCACATGGCTTTAGGGGCTCCCACAAGAGGTGGGGTGGCCCCCCTGAAGAGCTGTCCGGTTCTGGCGGCCGCGGCACGGACTCCAGGCACCGAGGCAGACGGCAGTCAAATGACCTTGAAGGCTTTTTTCATCCAGAGGTTACGGTTATTTCCCCCCCCCCCCCAGGGTTCAGAACACGGTCTTTTGTTGGATTTATCCTCATTCACACTCAAAGCTATTTTGTTTTTTAAATCCGTGGCTATGTGAGTCAGTCAAGGCCATGCGCAAAGACCACACAGAGGGCCCACCGTGGAATATTTTGAAGGTTGATGGTCCAGACATACAGCACTCACTATTTCCAAAGCAAAGCGCCACAGGCTTCTCCACTGAGTTCCCAAGCCGGTGGCGGAATGTGGTACACCTGGGAGCCATCAGGACAGGCGAAGACTGGGAGGTACCCCAAACCCCCCAGGCCCCCATTCCTCCTATGGAACACCTAGAAATAGCAGACGCCAGGAGCTTGTCATTAAACCAAGATGTCTTAGAAGCAAAAATAAGTCATCCAGTCATTAACCAGACAAGAAACATAACCGCAGGAGCATGAGGTAGCAGAGCTCCGTCATAAGCCCCTGAGCTTTGAGGTAGGAGATAGGTGGGTTCAAATCCCAGCTCTGCCACCCACAGGCTGTGTGACCTTGGGCGGATTACTTAACCTTTCCAGGCCTCAGTTTCCCCACCTGTAAAATGTTGACAACGCCTCTGTCGCAGGAGTTGCGAGGATTCAGAGATGACAGACGTACCTGAAGCCCCCAGTACATGTCTGGCGAGTGGCTAGCCCTCAACGGTCACTAATTTTAAATGCCAAGGAATGCAAACCTTCTGGAAATAACACGCTGGGCGAAATTCAGCTGTGTACGCGGAAGCATATTTGGTTCACAGTTATTCAGGTGCAAAAGCAGTTCGGTGTCCACCTGAATACGGGAATCCACCTGGGACGCCAGGAAGGGCGAGTATGAGCCTGAAGGGGGAGGGGCACCCCGAAAAGTCTCTCCAACAGCCAGTCTGTCCCTCCTGTGGAGCCTAGGGCCTGGCACACCTCATGTCTGGTTAATAAAATCGAATCATTTTGTCTTGATTCCCCATCAAGGGTCCTCCAGTCTTCAGGGTCTTTCTCCTAACTTTCAAGGATGCTCTGCCCCTTGAATCAGTCAAGGGCTGTGGCGAGGCTCCAGGGAAGAAGAGCTCTGCTCTGAACCCGCGCCCCGAGATCACCGCGCCCGACCCCGCAGCACGACCGGCCCTCACGGAAACTCACCGCTCTCCGTTTGGCCTCATCGTTCAGGGCGGCCACCCAGGCGGCCTGCCACTGCTTCCTCCAGATGCTCAGCGTCACGATCCAGGCGAGCAGCGCATCCGGCTCGGGGTGCTGGCCCTCGCCGGGCTCCGCCGCCCGCCTCGGGGAGCGGGGTCGTACCCTGGCCAGCGCCCACTGCGCCAGGTACAGGCCCACAGTGCCCAAGGCCACGACGAAGAGCGCCACCAAGCCCAGCCACTGGACCTCACCGAGCCACGAGTCCAGGCGGGACATGGTGATGGCGCATACCCGGCGCGCCTCGCCCCAACTTCCCAGGCAGCCCCTGGCCGGGCGCACAGCCCGCGGGCGGCGAGCTCAGGACATCAGCTCGCGGCCGCCCGGGGCTCGCGGGGGGCGGGGAGGGGGCGCGGCGGGCGGATCCAGGCGGCTGGCGACGCGGGCCCCGGGCGCCGAGAGGCCGGCGGGCGGGGTGAGCGGGAGGAAAAGCCCAGCCGGCTCACGACGGCCACGGCCCGGGACTGCGTCTCCCCTGGCAAATGGGGACGCGGTGTCCCGCGTTCCCGACTCGGGCGTCTGGTAGTTCCCGGGGCCGTAGCCGGACGCCTTTCCTCCAGCGAGCCGCCCCAGGCGTCCCGCCCGCGGCCCAGCGGCAGCCGGAGGAGGGGCGGGGCCGCGGGGCGGGGGAAGGGGCGCGGCCTGCGGGGCGGGGCGGGGCGGGGCGGGGCCTGGGCCTTCCCTGAGCCCGGGTCGTCCTCGCCGCTCGCCGCTCGCCGCTCGCCGCTCCCCGCTCCCCGCTCCCCGCGGCCCGCCCCGCCCGCCCCTTGAAAGGCCCAGCGCCCAGCTCCCCTGCCGACCCCGCCCCCGCTGCGGCCTCGGCCCCCGCCGGCCGTGTGAGCGCACCGCCTGCCACCTCCGGCGCCTTCGCCCGGACCGTGGCTGCGCGGTGGCCGCGTGTGCGCCCGGCGCTGCATCCTCCTGCGCGGACCTGTCTCCGGCGTGGAGACGCGAAAGCGCGGGACTTTCCAATTAGTCAGCCCAACCCCAGGGCTACAGTGGGGCGGGCTGGCGGGGCTTCCGTGAGCATGTGTGCGCGTGTGTGCACGCGTGTGCGTGCATGTGTGTGCGCGCGCCTGTGCGTGTGAAAGGGTGATTTCTAGGATCGCCATCTGCCCACCAGCAAAAGACAGTTGTCCGGTTTTAACATACTTGGAAAGCCCCTAGAAATCCACCACTCGCAACCTAAAGTCTGGAACCTCGCTTTAAGAGCTGCCATGATCACTCCTGGGAGGGTCTCAGGAAAATGCCCATTAAGAAGTTTGTGTGTGCGCATGTGTGTGGCGCGCTCCCAGCGCCCCTCACCTTGCAGTCAGCCCCCGTCATTAGGCAACGCCTCAAAACACTACCCTGAGATTCTCCAAGGCCTAATGCAAAGCCTGAATCATAAAATAGTGATTTGCTTGTAGTTCTGCGGCTGTATGAAGGGGATTTGACCTTGAATTCGGTTGGTTAGACCTGAGCACTTACCCTTCTCTTACCTAGCCAGGGTCTGCCTGTCTGGTTGGTAACATCAGTGAGGATTCTGGCCCCGACACTGCAGCAGAGGGTCCTCACTGGCTCCTCCCCAGCCCCTCCCCCTGCCACGGTGGTGGGTAAAGAGAAACCTTACAACCTGGCTCAGAGGGGAGATTGCTAAGAAGACGGACTAGTTGGGCCGATGGAGGTTAGGGTCTGGATCCGGTTCAGAGTCTAATGGCATTTATTGACAGCTATTTTGCGAAAACCCTGGGAGCAGTAGAACAAAGAGAACCACAGATGCTGTGACGAATCTGCCCTGGATACCAAGTATTGAAGAGAGGGTGAGGTGCCAGGCTGGAAAGGGGGAGGTTGGATGTAATGGCATTTGAAGAAGTGTGTGTGTGCAAAGTCCCTGAGGCCTGCATGTAGCTCAGTACCCTAAGCCCTAGAGTATGGGTCCTCACACGAGAGGGTATTTCTGGCTTAGAGACTGGAGGCCAGGAGATGAAGGTGAGTGAGGGTTTGTTTTTTTAAAAAATTTATTTTATTGAAGCATAGTTGATTTACAATGTTGTGTTAATTTCTGCTGTACAACAGGGTGATTCTGTTATACATATATACATTCTTTTTCACATTCTTCCCCATTACGTTTTATCCCAGGAGGTTGAATATAGTTCCCTGTGCTCTACAGCAGGACCTTGTTGTTTATAGGGTGGGTGAGGCTACAGCAGTAGGAGGGTGAAGGAGTTTACACCCGAGGGCCCAATTTTCTTTGAGAAGGAGGAAGGAATTGGGAGGTAGGTGGACTGACAACCCTAGTGGGAAACAGGACCAGGGCTGGCAGGGAGGGGAATTCATCAGGTTGCCCAGGTGAGCTGGGGCCGGGGAGAACCAGCCCTTACTAGGCAGGTCTGATATTAGAAAGTGGAAATAGAATGATCCTATCAACTTCCTGCGAGTTATCTATCCTTTAAACTGTAAGTCCTCCTTCAGCCCCCAGGCTATAAAGGATTTGGGAGGAGTTGTTCTGCTTTTCTCAGAAATCTCTTCTTATTTGGAAGAAACATCTTAATATTTTCTGACCTGTAGCCAGATCTATGCAGTTGAATAATCCAAGTCATGCTGGCCCCGTTGCCAGAATAACCTGGATAACTGGATACCCAGGGCTCCTCGTCTCCCTGTTCGACGGTGAGTACAGGTGTGCGCATGTGCGATGCCTAGCATGGCTGTGTGGCAGGTAGGGGGCAGCCGTCCCCATCCCGTGCGACTGGTGGAACCAGTTTCATTCCTCTGCGACAGTGTCTCCGACGCACGCTCACCCCACTGGCACATTTAGGGGCTTTGTCACACACTGTAAACTAACAACCACCCAGGGTTTAGAATTTGTCACACTGCTGTAAGTTTTTCCAAAGGGAAGGTAAACATATAAATATTGAACTACTTCTGTGTAGAAGCCAAGTGAGGGGAAATGAGGAATGTCATGGGCTTACAGGAAAATGCAGTTGGCCAAAACGTGCAATAGGAAGGAACTAAAACACCTTGTAAACCTACGGAAGAGAACAGACTCCCTTTACTTCTGCTCTGGTGCCCAATTCATCCACTGCCTGGAGTGGATACTGGACAGCTCAGTCTCCAGGAAGAGTAGCATTTCACCACTGTCACACAAGGTGACAGTCCCTGCTCCTAGTATGTTGCCCTCTCCTCCACCCCGTGTCCCTTCAACCCAAGGAGCCAGACTGCAGCTCTGCCCAGGAAGGACACTCGCTGTCACCCACGAGACCTTCCAGTGGATTGGGGTCCATCACACTCTACACCAGCTGTTTGCTGCTTTTAACCAGTCCTCAAAGGAAACTACCATGCTTTGAATCCTCCAAGCACTCGCACTGAGCTTCTGTGAGCAGGTGGGGCTGGGGTCTAGGGCTCTGGGTGCAGGGGAGGGGCCCATGGGTGCTAGCCATTGTTCCCAAGACAGTCACTCATACTGTGGCCCAAGGGAAACCGTCTTCACATCAACCTACTGGATCGCCCAGAGGCAGCCACCTGCCTGGAATTCTCTGGAAGGCATGACTCTGAACCTGAGACCAGGTGGGTCCCATTACTGCATGAGGAGACAACAGAAACTATGTTTCCAAATTCCTCTTTGGAATGTTCCACAGTAACTGGTTGTGAGCCTGCACACAGGAAACAGGAGTCAAGGCTCCTTGTTCCCTTTGGTGGCGCATCTCTGCGTCTTCCGCGGAAGGATTTTTTTTTTAACCTTCTTCTTTATGATGATTATTACTTTTTATTGGAGTACAGCTGCTGTACAACGTTGTGTTAGTTTCTGCCGTGCAGCAAAGTGACTCAGCTATACGTATACATCTATCCCCTCTTTTTTGGATTTCCTTCCCACTTAGGTCACCACAGAGCACTGAGTAGAGTTCCCTGTGCTATACAGTAGGTTCTCACTAGTTATCTGTTTCATACATAGTATCAATCCCCATCTCCCAATTCCTCCCACCCACCCCCTTCCCCCTTGGTATCCATACGTTTGTTCTCTACATCTGTGTCTCTATTTCTGCTTTGCAGACAGGCTCACCTGTACCATTTTTCTAGATTCCACATATAGGCATTTAATATACGATATTTGTTTTTCTCTTTCTGACTTACTTCACTCTGTATGACAGTCTCTAGGTCTATCTACGTCTCTGCCACTGGCACAATTTCTTTCCTTTTTATGGCTGAGTAATATTCTGTGGAAGTATTTTAATGTTTCCCTCTACCAAGCCCAGGAGGTTCTATGATGATGTTACATTTTTTTTAATTAATAAATATGTCTAGTGTCATATATGTTTCATAACTACAAACAAAGTTATACTTGTCAATACTAGAAAATATCCATTATCATTGAACCAGATATTCTTATGGGCTTTTAAAAATACTTAACAAAAAATTGGGATAGATACTTAAACACTTACCAACAGTGTCATTGAGTTTCCAGTTCCAATCTTACATTTCGAGAAGAGGAAAAGGGCAGATCTCGTTTGTCTCTGACTTGGTGGAGATGCTTCTCCCTCACGCTGCAGCCATCTGCGTGACTGTGAGAAATATGATCGCCTGAACTATCACCTTGTGCCCGCACTGCCCCAATGGACCGATGGACCGGAGCCTGGGCCCCAGCGGGGCTGTGACGGGCGACCTGGGAAGACAAAGGCGCAGCTTCCACTGGCAGTGCTTGATGGGAGACATTCCGAGAATTCCTTCTTAGCCAAACGCTTTTAAGATTTGGATCTGTGCCCACGCCCTCAGCAGTGGGGTCCGTGGGGACATTTAACCCAATCGCCTAGGCTGCACTGGCAGGACTTAGTCATTTCCACAGTCGGAGGCTCGGGGGCTGGGGGCCATTTTCTGTTGGGCCTGAGGGTCGAGGGGGGTGGGTGGACGGGGTGGGGGGGGGGGGGGTGGGGGGGAATGCAGGGAGCCTGCTCCAGGCATTAGAGGCCTTGGATCCTCTTGCTGGTTATTTTCAAGGTTTTGTGATGCCTTCCCTGGGAGAAAGGCAGCACCTCTGCATAACTGTCTTAACCCCAAATCACAGCATCACGAGGGCTGTGAGAAAGTTTTCTGAGCCTGAAGTTCAGACCACACGCAAGTCACCCCGGCTGCGTGAGATGGAGATATGGTCTGTCCTGCATGCCCCCTCCGCGAGGTCATAACTGCACCTGGGGGTGGGTCCCCCCACATGCAGCTGGTGCGGCTGGGTGGCTGCAGGCGCTCACAGCAGGCACACTGGGGAGCTGCTCCACTTGAGGGGCTCACTTAATTTTCATGGCAATGTGAAGGATGGCATCATCCCGTGTTAAAGGTGAGGAAGCTGAGTTCAGAGAGGCTGAGTCACTTGCTCAAGGCCAC